TGTATGTGTTTTCTTTTAGCAACCTGTTTGAATGTTTTTGTATGTGTTTTCTTTTAGCAACCTGTTTGAATGTTCTTGTAAATGTTTTCTTTAGCAACCTGTTCGAATGTTCTTGTAAATGTTTTATTCAGCAACCTATTTGAATGTTCTTGTAAGTGTTTTGTTTTAGCAACCTGTTTGAATGTTCTTGTAAGTATTTTCTTTTAGCAACCTATTTGAATGTTTTGTAAGTGTTTTCTTAAGAAAATTGTTTGAATTTTCTTGTAAGTGTTTTCTTTTAGCAACCTGTTTGAATGTTCTTGTAAGTGTTTTCTTTTAGCAACCTATTTGAATGTTTTTGTAAGTAAAGGTTGCTAAAAGAAAAGTTTGAATGTTCTTGTAAGTGTTTTCTTTTAGCAACCTGTTTGAATGTTCTGCTGTCATTTTTTATGAAAGACAACTGCATAGCGGTTACTTATACTTCGAGAAAATTTCTATAGGTTATTGTTATTGATTTTTAGGTATAAATACTTATAAGAACTTGTTTCATTCCCTCTCGTTACATTGTTGTCTACTTAATGAATCATGATTGTTTTAATTTTTGGTAATGATCTTGAGCATTGAATCTCGAGTTGTCAAGAAGAGAGATAGTGTTCATTGAGATTTTGTTTCCATTACTTTCAAAAAGCAAAGAAAGAGTAATTATTCCTTATAATTATATCTTCAAATGTGTTTATTTTTCATAGTTTAATCTTTAAAGATATAAACATTATTGCACTGAATTGATTTTTTCGAAGTTTCACCCACTGAAACTTCGTTTGGAGCACTTAGCTCTAAGTACCAATTTAAATCCATGACTGTGTCTTACGAAAACTTGGAGATAATTCCCTAAAACATCATGAAAGTCAATTCTGGGGATCTCTTTGCTTTAAGTATGAGTCTGATCCCATGTGTCTTAGTCGCTAAAACTTTGTGATGACTTCCTAAAACATCATGAAATACTATCCTGAGAATCACTTTAATCTAAGTATGAGTCTATTTCTATGTGTATTAGTGGCTAAAACTTTGCTATGACTTTCTAAAACATCATTAAATACTAACAGTAACACACTGAAGCACAGTTTAAAAAAACATTCTGAGAAACACTTACTTTTTGAAGCCAGACTTAGCACCATGCACTTAGCATGCGTGGAGAGATACCAGGTCACTAAATTTGAGTTCTGCTCTACTTGCTTCCCTCGACTCTAAATGTGAATCTTCCCTACTCCAAAATCGCGTTTCCATGCTTCCTTTTTTATGATGATGCTTTCTGGTTCTCTACTTCACGTTCCTAAGTAAAGTCAACTATTTCAAGAATTATCTATTATTCTCGTAGCGACATGTTTGTTAACAGCAAAAATACACTTACAATACGTAGATAAATACTAAAAACAAATCATTGTTCTTAAATTAATCTACTTAGTTGCTCTGAGGCTAGGCATGCCTAAGTGGTTAGCGTGACCAAACTGTGAATCCAAAATTTCATGGCCCGTGTCCCTTTGTCTAAGAAATGCGCTCCACACTTGGGGGGTTATGGATGACTTATAAAAGTGACGGTCATATCTCATTATTCGATCACACTTTAATAATCAAGAGTTTGCAACGAGTGCTCACTAGTCTATCACTTGAAAATTAAGGACAGCTATGCGCAGATAACACCACTCATCTAGCTTTGTGCAAAATATTGAAACAAAACAAAAACAAACAAGTTAATAGGAAACTAAAAGCACAAATGTAAGCTTTAAAAAAGAAATAAAATTATTATAAACTGCACCAAATAGGTGAAATGGAAAATACAAAGCAATACAATTACATTGAGTTAAATATAAATGGTAAAATGTCAAATAAATGCTGCCTGAATAACGCCTTGGTGAACTGTAAAACTATCACATAAACCTCATTGAGGAATATCTGGAATCTAATGACGAAGTACTATAGTAAATTTAGTGTAAAATTTTCACACGCTCGTTGGAATACATGGTAATCACAGAATGCTGTGAGGTCACAAAGAATATCTTCACAGAATCCCTCTCTCTCCTTCAGCAGATCTAATGAGGACATGGGGAATATTTCATATGTAGACCGTGAGATTGTAAACGTCTGTCATATAGTTCTAGTTGAAAATAATGTAAGGTTAAGCCTATTTTTTTGAAGATTAATCATGTAAATTATTTGAACCAGAAATGAAAAACGCAAAACTAATAAATCATTGCCATTTAATAAGAAGTTCTATACGTATAGCTCATCTGAGTTTCCTCTAAACTTCATAGTCTCTTCTTCTTTTTTTCAAATTTATTTAGCAAAGGGTTCAGTGATAAAAGAAAACAGCTGCTATTAAAAGATCTACTCTTAACCTGTTCAATAAACTGGTCCACAATATGTAAAACGTTCTTGAAATGTTGTGACATACCTTTCTCATTGGTTGGCATATGATAGGCATGCTAAGAACGGAGTGTTTAGATATATTTCCGGTTTCGCTTTGATCATCCTTTTTCATCCTAGAAATGTGAAAAGTAAAATCAATCCACTAACAGCGAAAAGTATTCTTAAGGAGTGTATTTATAACGTCTACAAATCAACGCATGATTATATTTCCAAGAAACAAACACACCTTTCTGGTGCTAATAACATTGTAGAGCATACTATTTCATTAACGTTGAGGAAAATCTGTGCTTTTGTTTTTTCTTTGTTTTTAAGCACAAACCTACAAAATTGTCTATCTGACTATGCTCATCGTGGGTATTGAAGCCCAATTTTTAGCGTTTTAAGTACTCGAAGGAAGATTCGGCAATTAAAAATCTTCTCACACAAAATATATACATATATATTATGTATTATTTCTCTTCTGTGAATCAAGAATCGGCCAAAAACAACCTGGAGGACACAGGTTATTAAAAGGGGTTATAGTTTATCAATTTTCCACTTTTCCATATCTCAGACTGTGCTAACTAAAATTATCACATGTTTTCCGTGGATTTGCTCTACTGGACCCTTACTTCACATACCAAATTTCAAGGCAATCCATTAAGAAATATACGAGATATAAAATCTCCAATTTTGATTGAATTTTTTCTTCTATTTTTTTTCTTCTTCGTATCGAAAGTATGGAGACTTTATTTGATAGAAAAACATTCTAAATTTTTATGGATTTTTTTTTGTACACTGATGGATCTTTACAACATACAATTAGGTGTCAAGTTATATATATATATATATAATGAAAGACAGATATGCAAAGTCATTTAACAAAAACCGCTCAAATTTGACCAAACATTCACGTGAGCTATCGGTCTGAATTTTTTACTACAGCTTCACCTAAGAGTCAAAGTGGACAGTTATTAGTTTTTTGTCATTCGTAATGAAGACGGTTGATTTAGGGCAGCAAAACTATAGAGTGAAAGCAGATTAGCAGTTTCTAGCTCAAGTTTTCAAAAGAATCATACAAACGAACGGTTATTATTCATTGCCAACTTTTGAGCACAGATTTGTTACATTTTATGAAATTATTCTAACTAAAGAAGTTTGGCCGCTAATTTTAATTTCATTCCTTTAAGTCGCACGCTCAATCCTATTTTGTCCGCACCATTTTTTCACACCTAAATTGTTTTTGATTAGATTCTTTTAACTGCAGTAATTACAATAATAAGTCTTAGTTGTACGCAGTTTATACAAACTTCGTATAAACGATTTTCAGTATGCAGTACCTTGAAAAATTATTTTAAAACATTTCTACTCTCACGAGTATTATTTTTTCATTACTGATGGAATTTTATTTATTTATTAAAATGTTTTTTTTTTTCCGAGAGATATCTTTATTATATGTACGATATGTTTGCTCCAGTTTTCATATTCCTTGTCAGAAATGAATGATTGAAAATAGAATAACAACGAAATATTGAATCATAAAAACTGATTGCCATTTAATAAGTTTTTGAAGCAATTTTTAGCCTGTTTTTTTAATGCACTTATATTTATGTATATGCTTCGCTTAAAAAGGTAATTAACTTTCAAAATGTAATTCCGGAATGAGGGGTCGTCTCTTATTCCGTGCCCAAGGAAGTATGTGAGATTCTCCACTAACTGGTTGCTCACTTTAATAAAATTGTGAATAGCTAACCACGTGTGATCAAGAGTGCTGAAATTCTTGGTATCGACAGTGTAACTTTTAATGAACTCTAGGGAGTCTTTTGATTGTTAGTTTGAAGCCCGATATTAATCAGAACAAGATTTTTCCAATTGTAATGATTTATCAGTAAATTAAGATGTAAGATATCGTCTAAAATAACACGTTTTATCACATTTCTTTTAACCCGAATAATTTTTTTCGTCTCTTAAACATGTATATGTGATTCGAATCGAAAGCTTGTTCAGTTGTTCTGCCTATCAACATAATAGTTTTAAAAGCACTAGAATCTTCTTTTCATTTGCATATTATATATTTTTTACACATTCTACACACTCGGTTCTCTCGCAATCTCAGGGTCACGGGTTCGAATCTCCGTCACACCAAACATGCTCGCCATTTCAGCTGTGGGGGCGTTATAA